ATCAGTAAAGAAATTACTTCTGCTGATTATGCCCAATTTGATGTTTTAATCATCATTTTTTTTATTCATTTGATGAATGGGTATTTATTTCTGAAACCAATTCTCATTTGGGAACGTAACAGCAGATATCTGACGTTTTTGCAAGGGTTGAATGCTAATTGACCTAGCTAGAACATCTGGAGAATGCATTGTTAGGCTAATGTTGCATATGCAAAGTTCATAAACGGTTTTAGAATCGTACCATTTCTATAAAAAAAAAAACAACATTTGATTTAAAAATTAAAACAAATAAAATTAAAAAAATCAATGTTTATTTCTAGATTGGTTTTATTTTTGCCTGAGTAACTTGACATGTCACGACTAATTTTCCAATCATGGTGACATTATTTTAGCCTTATTAATGTAACTTGTGTTAACTGTGAGCATGAAGTTGTTCTGTGCTGTGTTAATTAAGGTGCATATTCTTTAATAGTCCAACATTGTTGATAACAAACAGAAGATGGGAAGGAATAGATCGCAAAAAAGTTATAATCCGGAACAAATGACCAAATGCTCTTTAATTCTACCTCCAATACACGATATTTGGTACTGTTCGAGATTCCTTTCTAAACTGTACATATGATGGCCTGATTACAATTTCAGAATATAAAAACATATTTTCATTTCCTATTATCAAGTTAGGTTTTCGAATGTATCCTTAATGAGCTTACCACACGCGTGCAGAACCTATCTGTAACTGTATTTCATATCTGTGCAGACCCTCGACACGATACGTGTTTATTGCAAAAGTTTTACTACAGAAATGAGTTAGGTGTTGTCATTATTGAAAACAGTATTCCCTATTAAAACCATCGCCTGTAATGCTTTTATCAAATCAATTACACAATATTGTAAAGCATTCATTGAAACTTGCACATTCAGATAAAATGGTAATAAAACACACACATATGAAAACAGGACAAGATAATCTTTAAAGTTCAACGACCGTGAAAGCAGGTGATACGGAAACATATTTTCTAAACAGCATGTGGCACCCACCCTGATACGTTCAGATAAGTATAGACGCAGTTCCAGATAAATGTATATGCCTATCCATTTTACCGTGCCAGAATGATGACTGTCACAGAAGAATGTTTTACAAACCTGAACAAAAATCTTTTGAACAATCTATGAAAGTTCTTCTTAAACTATCTCCACATACAATGGTTAATTCTGATATTTCACTGGTGATAATGTAACAAACCCTTTTTAGAATATTGAGTTGGATCTGTTAAGTCATAATATGTTGTTTGGATGTTTCGTTATAATGTTTTGCCATTTTCATAACTGTTTAAGACTGTTCAGTAAAAAGGAACAACAACTGTCAATATATGCATGGTATATGAGGTTTTAAAACACATTTACTCACAAGATCTTTTACGGAAATTAACAAACGAATGTAATGCTTTATCGAGTGAGTTGAAACTAAGTACGAAAATGCGTTCTCGTATTTAATTTTGTCCTTTTCACATTTGGACGTCTTTTGGCATAAAAATGGTGTACGCGGTGTTTTTGCAAGAGCGTCTAATTATCTGAAATACTCGCTGTGTAAGGATGATAAGACGTTCTGTATTGCTACAGCACGTAAGTCATTACTTCTTAATAGATCTAGGAAGTTGTTTGAGTTTGGAGAAACGTATCTAAGGCTTAGCGTTGATGTGCTCTTAGTTTTAAAATAAACGACTTATATATCTTTTTAAATTGTGAAGTTCAAATGGAATTCACCGATAGGAATTTTATTTGTTATTCCATGTCCAAATACTGATACGAAGAATTTGCACGATGGATAACACGTGTCAACCATTTCTCTATTAAATAAGAGCACCAATAATGCAGCATACCAATCGTGCCAGGATATAACAATGACTGACGGCGATATTTCCAACTGTTAAGATCAAGTTTGAGAGACTTGCACTTGTTTATGATATGATTGGTAGGTTGTGATTACTCGGTAACAGCGTTACACAAGAAATAATTAGTTAGGCTGTCATCGATTTATTAGCGAGTCTCTACAGCGTCTCCAAAGAAGGACGTACTTGACAATGTATTCATTGTTTGACCCCGAACATGTACTTGTAAACAGTATCATTCATTTTGTTCCATACCCTGTTTTAGGGGACCAACATTGGTCAGGTGGTCTCGTTGAACTGTCTCGGCTTCTTTCTATCTTTCTCTCTCTCTTTCATCTACTCTTTCATTTGGATGGTACCGTAACCAAATTGTGACATTTAAATATATTGACACTTTAAATGGCATTTGAGTGGCTTTATCGCTTGTGGACATCATCACCATATCTCTTAGACTGTTGTTGATTTAAATCAATCTACCACAAAATAACACTTAAACTTGCTATAACGATTTATAGGACAAAAACATTACATACTCCATAACGTTATTTATGGGCAGTGTATAGGGATTAAATGTTGTCTTTAAACTAATCCACTCACGACATGTCTGGTGCAGTGCCATCACCGTAGCGGTTAATGTCTTTTTTTTTAACAAGTACGGTGGCATACGAATCGTTCCAGTGCTGTGGTCTTCTTGAGTTACAGGCATAATTAGAATGACATTTAACGGGCAAACTATTGGGTAGATGTGTTGATGACTATGATGTTTCTTTCCATAACAAATGTGCCTTTTATAATAAATGAATACTTCAAATTGCGTTTTATCAATATACTTGTTAGTTAAATGAGTTCTTTAGTCAAGAAACGCTCTGATGTGGCAATTTCTTTCTTATTTTACATATAAATATTCAGAACGAGTAATAAGGAATCATTTAAATAATTTGAATACTGCTCAGTTTTTAAAAGAAAAACTTGTGACGAAATAACGCTCACGACCTCACAACCTTTGACAAAATAAATCTCTGCTTGGTTATTAGATGAATGGTCAATACTATTATTACCTTTATACTGACATCGATGACATTGATACCGCATCGATAAACCCTGAAATGTATCGATGTCCTGTGAATTCCCTTAATCCCAAACATTTGTCAAAAAGTATATATTTTGCTAGCCATTTTGAATTGCGCCATACACATATTTCCTTTAAGGTAGTAAATGTTTCACTGTCAAATGATATTTTTCAATCAAGTTCTCGTCGATTTCTACGCATACGCTACGCTGTGAGAACTCAATGATTGAGAAGGTTTTCAGATCGATTCTATGGTAAACATAGTTCTGGAAAAGTATTTATCCTAAACGCCTACCCTATTTTCATAATTGCGAGAACCAGCAGTATAAACTCATATTTATTGTTTACCTTCCAAATTTATATCAACTCCCGAGAATGTTTGCCGTTACAATTCTTGACCAACTTACAATGTACCATCGCAACAAGGAAAACTATTTCTGGTTGGTTTTTACGCTTCGTGACTTTTATAATTACTTCAAACACCGACCTTGAATGATTTTCCAATATTTTTTTCTTTACGCGACATCGGAGAGCATTTTGTCTGATACAGTTTGTAGAGAGCCTGATGTTATTGGCGTGAGATCTGTCCCAGCTGTCATATTAACTGTGGTGTCATTGTTCGGACGTACCAGGACCGCCAGCAACACCGGCTGATTGCCAGCCACACCAAACATGCTTTCACCAATGGATCTTTGTTCGAGTACTAACTGGTTGAATTGCTGCTTCCATCAAACACAACCATATCAATCTAGTGTAATTGTCACCAGTAACGCGAAAAAACGACAGAATTACTTCACTTAGACCTGTAGATGAAATTGATTCTATGGCTGTCCTCTTTATGGCTCTGGTGGTGTGTCGTGTGAGGACCAGATCGAGGTTGGTATCTGTTAGTGACGGTAACTAATTGCCCCCGCGTTAACTACTTAAACATCCTTAGCCGGCTGGTTATATCTCGTGCCGGATGAACGATCTGTTCGTAATACCTGTCGTAATAACAGTCTGTCTGTGTTATTCTATTCCATATTTGTTTTTCTATATATCTAGTACCAGCCGTTACCATCATTGCGTTACATTGATATTTTATCATAGGTGTAAGTACGAGTGACCTACGTATAATCTGATCAATTATATGACACCATTCTAACGGGGAATGGTCACGAGAGGTCGACCAAGGCCTACTTTTATGACAAAGACTACTAATTAATAGTATTCGATACCTTCGCTTTAGTTAAGTAGGAGCCTTGTAAGTCCGTCTATACACGACATCTTCCGCTGTGTTGGTGCCATAAAAATAGTAAGCAACAGTTAATTGCAAAAACAACTTATCTCGATCCGTATGTCAAATTTGCACTTTATGCCAACTATATATGAACAGTGAAAGGAAATCTGAAATATAGATTACATGGGTGATAAGATAATATCATGGCGTGTTTGTCATTACAAAATAGGACGAGACAACAAACTACATTACTGAATTAAAAGATTTAAGCATGTCAGTCGATATATTGCAGTAGTACAAAAGTACCGCTTTTGGCGCAGGGTCATCCGGTGCACTCCCCTATATAATCCTTACCACCTCCCGGCCCCCCCCCCTTGTGGCACCCCCCTTCAGCAGGGGGGTACCGATCGATGACGTCACAGGGGGGGGGGGTTCTCATGTATTGGGGTTTTTCCAGACTGTCTCTATTTAGAGCGACAACCTATATACGAGGGGGGTACCGTTATGATGATGTCACGGGTTTTCCCCGATTGCCCCCCGTTTAAAAATATCGAAACCGGTTTCATCCGGATCGGTGATGTTCTCGAATGTTCTAATACAATAACAACACAAATATACGTACAACATTTTATTGTCTCTGTCGATAGAACAGACACGGGTCAGAGACCCATCCCGCGTCAGCCCTTACAATACAAAGCCTAGCATGGACAATATTTACATCTACATGAGAGCCATCTACCACCCGCAATACGGTACTAGAACGATATGTTTATATGTACACTCTTTCCCATAACGCGGGGTCTTGAACATTTTCTAGGGTAGTTCACTCTCTTACAAATCGGTTACGCTGATCTGATGCGCGTATCCAGGAATTAAATTTCTTAGGCCAATTTAGCCATTTCCCGTAGTGTTGTTTGCTACGGCCTTTTCCTCTGGTTTTCAATATGGTCTCTACCTTCCACATGTCATCCTCCCTTACGTCAACTTTCTGTAGCTCGGACTGATAGAAAGTACCTTTAATTTCATCGCCATCGTAATCCGTGACTCTGTACACAGGTAAGCCTCCACGTAGGATCTTTTGAGAAATGGTAAATATCTCCCCCGTCCATTTTTCATCGTATTCCCGTGTGAATGGATTCCTGAGATGTGACAAACGCACTTTATCCCCTACTTTAAACTTGAACGGTTTACGAACTTTTTTAGTCTTTCGTAAGATCGGCTCTTTCTTCGGCCAGTACATCCTCCACCAGACAGATGTTTCGTTATTTTTGTTAACCTTAGTTGGAGCTGTCCCAATGGTCCTATGAAACGTCTTGTTGTAGCTGTCGGCGAACGTCTGGAGTTTTGTCACGTATTCGTAATTCCTTATGTGTGTGAAATATCTATACATTCTTGACTTGATGGTCTTGATAACGCGCTCGGACACGGCAGCCTTGGTTTCGTTTTGGGCATAAAGATGCTGAATGTGGTATTGATTTAGGAGAGAGTTTACTTCCTTGGATCTGAATTCTTGCCCCTTATCGGTACGGATCCTGCTAGGTTGTCTCCCCTCGCTATGAATCTCACGAAGAGCCTTTGTTACGGATGCACCTGTTTTGTTTTTTAGAGGTTTCATCCATAGAAATTTTGAGAACACGTCTATCACCACGAGTACGTAAGAATAACCGTTGTTTTCGTTCTGAAACTTGACCATGTCTATGAGATCGGCAGACCATTGGTCGTCGATTCCTGTCACCAAGATTCTGTTTCGTTTGAATGGACGTCGGAGGGATCTCTGAAGGCTGTAAGGCTCTTGTCGTTGTAGCCATTTTCTTATCTTGTATTTGCTGATGACGTATTTCCCGGCTTTCCGTACATATCTATACAGTTTGTCTGGTCCAGAGAAACTCCCAGCATTGGTAGGATTGTAATAAATGTCTCTTAAATAACCTTCCCAAGCAGACATCCTTCTTCGTCGAGTTCTAGACGTTGTATGAGGTTCGTTCTGATGTATTGATTCTTTTATTAGTTTTCTTCTACAGAATTCTCTGACTCTTCCTCTTCATTATCATCATCTTCGGATTCATCATCGTCATCATCATCATCATCATCATCATCATCATCATCATTATATAAATGCTCTTCGAGCTGGTGTCTGTATTTCCTTAGAGACATGCGTATCGCAGGGAGGGTTTTGTAACGCTTCGCATATAATTTTCCACCGACTGCATGACTTTTGTGTGTATTTCCCCACCTTTCAGCTGTAAAATATTGGTGATTGTTTTCCAATACAAATTGAGGAACTCCCTCATATCTTCTTCTTGCATCTTTTTATCAGCCTTACTCACAGCGTCTTTCTTAGACAGCCCGTTGTTCTGGTATTTCTCTACCTTCTCACTCCATTTTTCTTCGTTGTTTGCGTTCGCTTTTTTACGTATCTCGTTGAAGTATTCCCCCTCTTCCGAATCTTCCTCAGTATCTGAGATATCGGGGTCATCAAAAATATCCAACCTCTGCCTCTTTGCCGGACTTTGGACTTCGTCCTGGTCCAGTTTTCTTTTCCGAGAGTCATTTTCGGGACACCATTTTTTCACGTGTCTCTGTAAATCATGTATGTCTTGGAACACAATACCACAATCGTCACAGGCAGGCATTTCTTCTGTTTCTAAGGACAGCTCTTGATGTTGTTGTTGTTGCTTTTGGGTATCTTTCCGTGTGCCTTGTTGAGGATGTTGTTCACCTCCAAGAAATTCTTGCTGCTGCTGAGAATACGTCCGTTCACTTTGAGCGCTGCTTACAAACTGACTGGATGCTAGATTATGTGGCCCTTTTATAGGCTCGTGGGCGAACACTTCACTGCGCATGCGCTCTGACTCTGGTGTTAATGGTTTCAAATCGACAAGCAGATATCCGTAAGGCTTAGTGGTAGCTTCTGTGAAATGTCTGAACAAGTGTTGAACATTTTGCGGATACATCTGCCTGGCCAGAGTCATAACTTGCTGTTTGTCGATAGGATTGTTAAACAATACCAGGTAGTGGCAGTTACGTCTCTGCGTTGGGTCCTTGTTGTAATACAGATTTTGGTTGATGGCAATCACAGACAAGTTTCTATGATGGCTCCCCTCCGTAAATAACTCATTGATCCGTGGATCCTTAGATGCTGTGGACATTAGGTCGTCAAGTATGACAAGATTTCGAACCCTAGGGTTTATGAACGAGTCCTGATCCAAATCCAGCGGTATCCCCTGAATAAATTCCACGTTCGGTGAAACCGTTGTCTTGATGACATCATAGAGAGGCTGCCATCTTTTGTAGAGCCATATAATCTTTTGTGGAGGAGGTGATATCTTGGTCAAACAGTTTTGTAGGAGAGTCTTGACAAAATAGGTTTTCCCCGCAAGACGTCGGTCCGGATATATTTGCTGTGAATGGATGCTTGAAGACAAAGTACTGCTGCTACGGCGGCGGCGGCGGCGGCGGCGGCGGCGGATAACTGATTAGTGGGTATACAGGATTATTCCCCGGCGGCGGCGGCGGCGGCGGTTGTGTTGATAAATAGCCGTGTATGTTTTGTTGGTGTCTTTTCATCACGTCTTTTCTTGAAAACCAGCCTTGGCAGTCGGCACACTGTATCTTAGACATGTTAACACCTCGACGTCTTGTTGTCAAATGAAACATTTATGTTTTCACCCCTATTTATACTATCTCAAGTGTTGCATTGTGGGTAAAATTAAAAAATAAGACAATCGCTAGTTTATAACATTTTGTTACATAAAGCAAAGATACGTCATATGTACAATAAAGAACCTACTCTAAAATGGACAATATACACATTTAAATTAATCAGTGTCATCTACAACCCGATTTGCAGTTGAAACGGAATCTTTCTTGGGTAGTTCACACTTCTATTCTGGTATCCTCCAGTGTCCGTAGGCCAAACTCGATATTCCATTTTGTAGGAGATACCTCTTGTCGTCGAACGGTGACAGACCCCTTTTGGTCATGGATATATTGTAGATTTGATGCTTATAACTTCTGATCTGATTCATTTGGGACATTACGACTTTCTTTTGAAAAAGACAGTCCTTGTAATGCTCGAAACGTGTATGGTTTTCGATCACATATTTTTTAATGCCTTTTGCCTTCTTTGATTCTACGTAAGTTTCCACCTCTTTGCCATCTTTCTCTTCCTTAACGTCATGTGTGTAGACATACATTTTAGCCTTAAGTCCCACAAAGGCATGAATGCTATTAACATGAATTTACTAATATAGCTATAGCAAAATATCATCAACATTAAACGTTCATGCAACGTCACAAAGCTTGTACAAATACAAAACACTATAACAAAGAATGGAGATTAATTTAAGAAGTACAAATTTATCAAAGTGGAACGCATTTTCAAATGTTACCAGCATCAATGTTTCAGTCGAAATAGTTACGTTTTTTTTTATCAAACATACAGTTGGACCCCAATTAGAAGTCTTGTATAAACAGGTTCTTGGTTAATGCAGATTTCCGATTAGAAACCTTGCACATACAAAACGAATGTCAGATAATACAATATAAACGATGTTTCAACTGGAGTTCTAAAACTTATATATTCAGAGAGAGAAAAAAGCATTATTTTAATAACATAATTTACCATTCAAAACAATAACGGTGACACAAAACATTTCTTGCGATACAAAATGTAGTTAGCTACCGATAAGGAATACCCTGGATGAGGAGATAATGTCTTTCTGACACTACATGTCCGTCATGACGAAACGTTCTTCTCAAGTACCCAGACACAGACAATCCACCATAAGCTGCTCCTAGATCACTGTGTCATCAATGTCACAACCCCCTCCTATATCATCAGCATTTATTAAATCTAGACAGGGGGTTTTCACGCCGAATGTCATATTTTCTACTTTATCCAAAATGATATATCTTTTGGGAATCTCAAAATCCGCGGTTTCGGAATCCATTTTTGATATATGTGGGTTTTTTCATGCGAATTACGGAACATGTAAGAGTACTATGGGAATATACCAAAACGATTGATCTGACATATAATATCACTCACCAACAAATCACATCAAAACGGTGCAATCAATGTCTGCACCATAGCATATACAGTCCCATATTTCTTGGATTCTCATCTTTTTTTTAATTCCGGTTGATTTAAATAAATGACATCACGACAGTGAAATGATAAGAATCTGTAAAAGTCTCTGATATAGGCGATTACAAAGATCACTACAGACGAAACACTTAGATTCTCTACATTTGTATCTGACAAGGTTTATACAATATCATGTTGTTAAACGACAAAGTAAATTGATTTCAGGATGTTTTTTATTTTGTAAAACTTCGAAATAAAGGAGTCAATCAGCATCAGTTACAGACTATACAAGTCAGATTACCTATGCCAATAGTTATTAGATTTTATATATTTAATTATAATATTTACAATTGTTGTATTTGGGACAAGCAGTCCACAATTATGATAATTAATTATACAGCATTGATCAGCAATGTCAGTCCACTCGTCAGACATGAACTGGTGAATAGCAATGGTTACACGTCGATGTATTCACGCTATTTGTGTTTTGACCTCTGCCCATTTGGGAAGCAGATATGGGGTTGTGAAAACATGCACAGCACTATTATAAACCTTACATTGTTTCCAGATTATTTTGTTGTTGTTAACATCAGGCCTTTAATATCGATGTAGATCAAGTGGATACTTTCCAGTAGAATTTAACCATTTAGAGCAGAGTAATAGTTCGGGAGAAGACGCTTTGATTGATAAAGAGAGGACGATAGCGGAAGGCGTTATCGCAATCCAAGAAAAGGAGAATCAAACATAGATACGACTACCGTTCATGTGAAAATAAGTCTTCTCTCTGTTGCAATAAATTCTAAGCCAAACTAAGATGTTTACTCTCCTATTATCATGATGTCTGACATCCTAGTACACTGAGTTGATCATTCCTGGCCTTTATGTCAGCATAGTGTTAACAGCTCTAACAAATGGCTTCACAGGAAACAAACAGGTTGGTTTGTGCCATTACTACATAGGTTTTGGATTTTTATCATGTCTGTAATTCTGAATATAACGTTTTAAAGCTTTTAAAAAATCAAACTTTTTTGGTTAGAAAAGGTTTTTTTGATAAATCAATCTTTGAAAAAATAAGTTGACATGCAACAACTCAATTTTCCATAAGACGAGGAAAGTCAAGGTTTGATCAAGATTGAAAATAATATTAATTTGCTTAGTTAAATATAAATCTTTTTCTAGATCCTAACCAGTGAGGCAGCAGCTTCCTCGTTGTTAGGAATCAATACATTTAAAGCAGTTTCAATATGAAAGAGCTTGACTCAAATATACCCGAAAATTGTTATTTTAGAAGAGAAAAGGGCCTTTAAAGTTTCCTTGAGGTATTTCTGTCTTTAATGTTTTCTAATTAGATTAAATTCCATCAAATGCCTGCAGTTTTGAAAACAATATGGTATAATGTGGCTAGTCCGATTCGTTACCAGGTCCTGTTCATAGTATTGTTGATAAGCTTTAAGTCTTGCGGATCATAGGCATATTATGACAACATTTGTACAGACATTTATACAGACATAGTTCAAAGTCTAAAACAACGAAATGCTCTGACATCAGTTATGTCTTATACAAATCTGGCGGCTAGATTAGGCTCCCTTACATAAACTATTTATCTCGGCAATTTAGTGTTAGGTATATAAATAGAAATGCCCGTCCAAATAGTGTTACTCTTGATGCGCATGTCTGTTCGTCAATTAGTGCCAGAAGTCGTCTGTTGATGATGGGGGTTTCTTTGTTTTACACTATAGAGTGTCAACTTATATATATTGGGTTCACTGACGTGCGCGAGCCTCCCTGATAGTTGATTTTTTTTATTGTACTATTGACATTTTAACAAGACGGAGTACGTCTGCCTCGAGAGGCTT